GAGCCCGATGCGGGACTCGATCCCGGGACTCCAGGATCATGACCTGAGCCGAAGGCAGTCGCTTAACCAACTGAGCCACCCAGGCGCCCTCCAAATAAAATATTTTGAGCTCTGTCACTTTCTAGCTTTGTGGCTGCTTTGTGTGTATTAAATGTGTTTTTAAGTAGCTGAAAGATAATCAAAAGGCATTTGGACTATATGTACGCATCGGGTTTTTGTCCTGCCCAGGAAAGGTGTTTTGAAATAACTTAGAGATCCATAGTGGATCTTTCAGCAGGCTGGAAGAATCCTGTTGATACCCTTTGAGTACTGGAAATGGACTGAACTCTATTTTTTCCTTACGTCTTTGAATTATATAAATTGCTTGACTAATGCACTTCTTTGAAGAAGTGTTGCCTAAAGTTTTTAGACTGAATGTTTTCATGCTCTTAAGGCCCCCCCCCATAAATTAGCATAAATGCATGGTTTTGTTGGTACTCTTAATGGAAAACGAAGTGTGCATGGCACTCGCTGTGGAATTGCTTTGAGATAATTTGAGGAAATTTAATACAACTCAAGGTCACCAAAATTAATGAGGACATGGCAGTTTGGAATGGTTTTTTTTATATCAAACACAGCATCAGGATGCTGCCAAGGACCAGAAAGACATCTCTGAAATTGCACGGGCTGCCCTGCAGGGGTGAGGAAGTGTGTGCCACAGTTTTACGATTGCAGTGTGGACTCTCCAAGCATGGTCTGCTTTGTGAACAAAGGCTTTGCTAGTTTGTGTGTGTCTTTGTGTTTTTCTCTTCTGTGTATTCTCCTCCCCAGAGGTGTGTCTTAGGGCTGTGCCTGCGTGATTAATTTCACTGATTCTTGGCCAGGCACCGCTCTATAGACAGGTGTTGATGTTTTTGAACTTAGGAGGGCAGAGGAACCTTTTCCTTCACTCTCAAGATTGCTGTAAAGGCCTGGAGTGGGATTGGCTGTGGGTTTCTTCATAATTATAGCCTCTTTTAGCAAACCCAATATATTAAACTGTATACATTAACATATTACTTAGGGATTGAATATTTACTTTTCAGAGTGGTTCTTTTTAGAGCTTTTTTAAATAGCTAGTTCTCCAGTTTCATTAAAATAGAATTTGATTCCCAGAATTTGCTTTGTAAGAATACAGGTCCTCATTAAGGCACGGCACACCCATAATCTCTGCTAGAGCTCCTCTTCCCTGGAGATTGAGACAGAGTTTCACGTGAGTTGGGGAGCAAATGAGGGAGATGCATTTTTTTCCATATCAACTTTTTTCCTCGTGTCTGCCTAACAGTTCTACTGAGAGCTAATTTCTTGAATCAGGGCTGCCTTCCCTATGTTTGAAAGGCTGTGCCCACTTGGAAGTGTTTGTATGTGTGGGTGGAGCCCTGTAGAGACAAAATGTAATTGACTGTGCTGCTGCCAGCCAAGATCAGCTTTTCTCCTGCCAGTTTCCCTTTGTTGCTTTTTTGAAGGAGATCAGTAACAGCAAAACCTGCCCCTTAAGTAGTTGGTATGATTCTGAAGAGCAGAGAAAAGAATTCATTGCGTCATCTCTGTAAAGAAATTTAGTGGCTCATGGAAGGTAGGGAAAGAGAATAACCAAATTTGGTGGGACTTAAATCCATCACTTTCCAGTTTATTTTCTGTTTGGGGCATCTGATCACCTGGGTACTATTTTAAAGTGTCCTGTTTTTAAAGTGTTTTGAGTAGGGCCCTGGACCAGTGTCTCATATTCTAATAGTATGTGTGGTTGTTGATGTTTAATTGCTATTTGCTTCTGTCTATCAGGAGCTTGGGGCTGAGGTTGTTTTGAAGATGTTCATTAACTGGGGGTTTACAGGAGGCTTCTCCTTGTTACTGTTTGCCTCCAAGTGATTGTCATCCTTCCACTACCACACAATTTCTTCTCTAAAATGACAGGCATTCAGATTACCTAAAGGTACTTGCTAATTAAAAATTGTCCTCCGATGGACTCTGAAAAACAAACTGAGGGTTCTAGAGGGGAGGGGGGTGGGAGGATGGGTTAGCCTGGTGATGGGTATTAAAGAGGGCACGTTCTGCATGGAGCACTGGGTGTTATGCACAAACAATGAATCATGGAACGCTACATCTAAAACAAATGATGTATGGGGATTAACATAACAATAAAAAATAAAAATAAAATAAAATAAAATAAATCTGAAAAAAAAAAATTGTCCTCTAAAAGCCACTCCATAATCAGCCAAACACACTGTAAGCAAAACACTTAAGAAGTCTGGGATGAACCAGGGGTTTATGCTGATTACAAATATTGACTTCTGCACACACAGTAGCTGCTGTTGAATTATCATAGTCATATTCAGAATAAATTTCACTTTCAAAGCTGATGACAGATTGATTTACTGCTTCGTTTCTAAAACCTAATGAACTTAAAGACATGGGATAGTTATTCCCTCAGAAATTTGGAATCAGCTTTATCACTCAGTGAATGAAAGTTCAGCATTAGTTATATTAATTTGTATTTGTGGAACACCTTTCTTCCCTGTGTCTTAACACCCTTTGTAGGTGTTTTTGGAAGTGCGTTATTAATGCAAAAATTTAAATTTTATTACTAAATCATTTTTACAGCTGTTTTTTGCTTTCATTGCCTTGAGAGGCTAGTACATGACCCATCAGGACACACACACTCGTAATTCCTATGGTTGTTAACTAGACAGTCTTAAATTCTAGTTTTCCAGAACTCTAGAGGATTTAGTTTATTTCATTTTGTTGCTGTTTATTTTTAGGAGAACATAAAAGTTCTGTTTCAAATTGTGTCTGGACCTTAATAAGAGATTTCAGTTGTGGAATAGTTTTTATGTTGAATAATTAGAGACTTGTGTTTTGGTTTTTATTTTGGGAGATGGGAGGAATTTTAGGATAACCTGATTGTGGCTGTGGTTGTCTGTAGCAGTTTGTCTTAGAAAAGATTATTTATTTTGTGTTCCTCCCCCACATTATGAAAAATTTGAAATACATAGAAAAATTGAAAGAATTGGTCAGTGAATCTTTATGTTAACATTTTGCTAATGTTTGCTTTATCACAAAGTAGTCTATCTAGCTTTCTCATTATCTTTTTTCTTCCCTCAAGAAGAAATGATCTTTATAGCTAATAATAAAGTAGAGCAAGCAAGAGAGAAAGAGATAGACAGACATGTGTGCAGTACCTGGCATATAGTAGACATAATAGAGCAAGTTGACAAATAAGGGAGTAAATGTGAATGAATGAATGATCTGAATAGGACATGCTTCCAGCTCCAGGATACAAGGAAACAGTTCCCACCTAATTCCCTGCCCTTAGGGATTTACTGTCTGGTCTGGAAGTGAGAAACCACAGAAGGCAAACCACTTTGCCAGGTAGCCCATATGAAGGCTTCAGTGAAGGTCAGCATGGTCAAGCATGGCTACTGGAGTTCAGAAGAGGGAATATGACCCCAGAAGACTGGGGCAGTTGACCAAGACTTCTTGGAAGAAATGGAGCTGGAGGGGCGCCTGGGTGGCTCAGTTGTTAAGTGTCTGCCTTCGGCTCGTGTCATGATCCCAGGGTTCTGGGATCGAGCCCCGCATTGGGCTCCCTGCTCAGCGGGAAGCCTGCTTCTCCCTCTCCCAATCCCCCTGCTTGTGTTCCCTCTCTCGCTGTGTCTTTCACTGTCAAATAAATAAATAAATAAAATCTTAAAAAAAAAGAAATGGAGCTGGAACTGGGCTAAGAGGTAGGGCAGAGCCTGAGAGCAGAGATGGTCACAGGGGCATTCTGAGTCATGGGGAGTGTGAGGCTCCCCACATACTTGGGAGGAGTGGCAGTGTGGTGCCTGTTGGAAGCCCTCCATTCAGGTGATTGGAGAGTATACTATCTTTCAGGTTGTACTCTAAGGCAGCTCCAGGCAGGACCCACTCCCTGTTCTCTGAGCACTCCCATTTACTCTCACTCCAGGACTCTGCCCTTGCTGCTCACTATGCCTGGAACACACTCCCTCCAGATGTCTGTGTGGCTCCCTCTGCCCTCTGGCCTCTGCTCAGTGAGAACTTCTCCCTGATCTTCTTCTGGCATGCACCAACTCCCCAACATGATTTGTTGTGCTTCCTACTGCATTCCCAAAGCCTAGTGGTAGTGTCTGTGATTATATATCCTTAATGTGTATACGTATGGATATATAGAGGTATAAAGAAGAAAACTGAAGGAATGAACAAGTGGGAATTCTGAGGCATAAGAGTGTGTTTGTTTGGTCACTTTAAGATATTTTCTTGTCCAAGCACCGAAGAGAAGCTTGAGCTGGGCAGAGTCACCAAAACATATGTCAGGGTCAGTGCACTTGTGAGGAAGGTTGAAATTTGGGTATGGTTAGCTTGCCCCTCTAGGGCATTCATCCGTGGCATTTTCTCTTTGAAAGATTCATGTTCCTAAGTGAAGTGCTTGGTGATTCTGATGCCTCTTGTCCTCCTTCCAGGACCCCTGCAGTGGAACATGAGTCGGTAATGCCCACTGAGGACCTCTGGGAGCCATGTCAGACGAATCCGCCTCAGGGAGCGATCCAGACCTGGACCCGGACGTGGAGCTGGAGGATGCGGAAGAGGAGGAGGAGGAGGAGGAAGTGGCAGTGGAGGAGCACGGCAGGGATGACACGGAAGACCTACTGGATGGTGAGTGGCTCTAGTTAGTGACATAGGTTGCCATATCTTTTCTTCTCCTGGGTTTTTTGCTGGGAGAGCATGGTGTTTCCAGTTGGATTTCTTAGATCATCTATTGTGAGAAGGCAGAGACTGGGAACACAGCAACAATTAACTCATATGCTATTCCTCAAGAAATGGATTGTTGTCCCTCTACATAGATCTCACTTTAGTGCTGGATGAACCTTTAGCATTTAACTCGTCTTTGACAGATGTGCAGATGCAGATCTAAAGATTTGAGAGTGGAGCATTCTTGCCCAAGTCATGGAGGAGTCAGTGGCAGAGTCCTTGTGGTGAGACTTTGTGGTCTGGGGTCATGAATTTATCAGGTGGCCACAGGCAGGCATGGGGGTAACCGTGAGTTTCCTGAAATTATATTTACAATTCTGCTTGTATGGACATGAGGGGGTTATGTGGGGAGAGATTTTCAGATGATAGGCTCACAACTCCAGAAAGCTTATTGCATTTCCTGTGGTGCTGCTCTGCCTCCCAGCCACTTCCAGTGACTGCACATTGCTCCTAATGGGAGAGAACTGCACCTCCATAGCTGGTAGACCCCCCTCTGGATTCCTGCTTGGCTCACCCCTTCCCTTGCCCCCAGCTTATTGAAGTGGCATTGACTTTTTCTTTTCATCTTCAGTCTATTATCAGGTCATCTGGCCAGCCACAGGCTTCTCAGTTAATTCCAGCCTTTAATGGCACAGGATTTAGTTGTTTGTAAGCTTCCTATTGACTAAGGAATAAAGTTTTGTCTGTTTATAACAAACCACCTTGGTAGGACTGAACATGGCACTAGATTATCACTGCTTGCATCTGAAGGAGCCTAGGAAAATGTGCTACTGCTTTTCTCCAGATTCAAGAAGAATAAACATGGATCCTCTTTCTTTGCTGTACTATCTTCAGTTCTCATTCATCCTACCAGATGTCATATGGTTCAGGGATCAGTTTTCCCTCATTTATACTGTCTAGGAGTCTCTGCCCCATTTCCACTTCACCTCTGGCAGGGAAATTTATTTATTTATTTATTTGACAGAGAGACAGCGGGAGAGGGAACATAAGTAGGGGGGAGTGGGATAGGGAGAAGCGGGCTCCCTGCTCAGCAGGGAGCCCGATGTGGGGCTCGATCCCAGGACCCTGGGATCATGACCTGAGCCAAAGGCAGACGCTTAACCGACTGAGCCACCCAGGTGCCCCTATTTTATTTTTTTCTTGATATCGTTTGCTGTCCACTGCTAGTTTATTCAGTTGGAGTCTCCCCAACTGGTTCTGTAGTTCCTTTCTATAAAGTAGAATAAGTAGAAATAATGGAAGATAGTGCTGGAAGGGTACACCATCAGACTGCCTTGCTTGGCTCTCATGGTTCTTAAGATGGCATTAGAGTCCCAGGTATCTGCATCACTTTTTGCTTTTTATCATTTGGGTTCTCAGAAGTATATTTTCAGGCACCCCCTAGAACTCTTGTCAGTTTTAGATTGGATTTTAGATGCTGCTGGTGGGTATAATGGATATATACACATTGTCTTTTCTCTTAGCTTTTTGGAATTCTATTTTCCTTGTTAGGTTCTTAATTATTAAAAAAAAATCATATGCTTCAGTGGACTTTACTATTATTTATTTAGAAGCGGCGAAAATTTAATTGTGATTTGTCTCAGAATAGTGTAGCTGTGCAACTGGAGTGGGTTTTTTTGTTGTTTTGTTTTTTTAGATTTTATTTATTGAGAGAGAGAGAGATAGCAAGGGAAAGCATGAGTAGGGTGGTGGGGAGAGGGAGACGCAGGCTCCCTGCTAAGCAGGGAGCCCAACATGGGGCTCAATCCCAGGACCCTGGGATCATGACCTGTGCCCCTGTAACTGGAATTTTTAAAAAAGAATATTGATACAATTCTCAGATGACATAATTTTTAAAAATTTGAAATGAGTTATTTTTATTGCTTAAGTTCAGAGGGTTAAAAAAAATGTTCCATAGGTACTGTCTTCTTCTCTTGCTCTGCTAGGTTCTTGGAATTTGATCAAGGATCCTTTTGATGTTTCACAGTAGTGTTAGAGCTCTACTCACCCAATCACTCCCAAATAGAATTGATACTTCTGTTACTTGTGGCAACTCCGCTGCTGTTTTAGAGCTTCTAGTTTTCCTGGTTCTCTTATTTTGAACACTGTGCAATTTTGCTGAACCATCTGAGACCTGCCTATTCAGTCTTGCCCTTCCTGCCTTGGCTTGCTGGTCATCCCACAGTCTTAATGGGTAGAGCAGCCAGCTATTCTAAAATTAGAAATAGCTATGAATAGTCTTAGCTGGTATAGTGTGATGTGGCCTTTTGTTGTCCTAGAGCAGTGGTTCTTAACCTGGGATGATTTTGCCTCCCAGGGGACAATTTACAATGTCTGAAAACAGTTTTGACTGTCATGACTTCTGGAAGGTGAGGGAAGAATACTACTGGCATCTTGTGGGCAGAGACCAGGGATGCTGCTAAACATCCTACATTGCATAGGACAACTCCGTCCTACACACAGTTATTGTCCCCAAATATCAATAGTGCTGAGGTTGAGAAACCCTTTCAAAAAGGCAACTGTTACTTCAGCTCTTTTTATTTGAAGTTTCATCTCTACTGGATGATAATAACTCACTTTTATAGTGCTTCCTCATCATTTACGCAAACATCTGAACAATCATACTAACCTTTTCAAAGAACTGTCTTTTGGCTTTGGTGATTCCCTCTATTTGTGTTTGTTTTCTTTGTAATTTCTACTTTATAATATTCTTCCTCCTACTTCTTTTGGGTTTATTTAGCAGTACTTCCAAACTTCTTAAGAATGTGCTTACCAGGGCGCCTGGGTGGCGCAGTTGGTTAAGCAGCCAACTCTTGGTTTTGGCTCAGGTCATGGTCTTAGGGTCATGATGTCGAACCTCAGGCTCTGTGCTCAACAGGGAGTCTGCTTGAGTTTCTCTCTGCTTCTCCCTCTGCCCCTCCCACTCGTGCTCTCTCTCTCAAATAAATAAATCTTAAAAAAAAAAAAAAAGGATGTGCTTACATTTGTTCCCCTAATAAAAACAATTAAAACTATAAATTTCCCTCTAAGTACTGCTGTAGTTCATCCCCTCACAAGCATTTTGACACACTTTACCCTGCTTGATTATCTTGATAATCCTATGTGTTAGGTAGGGCAGGTACATTTTAGAGATAAGGAAATTGAGGCCCAGAAAGGCAAATGGCTCACTCAGTATAATTTTGCAAGAAAGTGGCAAAGCTGGGCCTTTGGTTTCCAAAGTGGTGCTCCTTTTCCAAACCCATGCTGCTTCTGAGACCATAGATTCATATCCTTCCCTTGCCTGTAATGGGTTGCTTTCTCTCTTAGTTGGTGCTGTCAAGAAAGAAGCTGGTTAATACTGTTGACCAGAGATGAGAGGACAATTAGAAGTAATAGCATGAGTAAAGGCATAGTAGAAGGGCAAGTATGACATATGCTAGAGAATGATGACCTATCTTACTTGGTGTAGAACTGGACACATTAGGGGGAAGACCAGAGTGAGACTGGAGTGATAGCCTGGAATCGGGTTGGGGGGGGAGTTTAGAATTTGTTTTAAAGGCAGCATGGAATTGATGGAAGTTTTTACCAAGGAGCATTCATTAAAACTTTGATTTTTAAGAACGTTATTTAGCAGTGTACAGAAGAGATGGCCTGTAGATAGTGAAGACCAGTTAGGTCTGTGGTAAAACTTTACGGGAAGGGTTAATGAGATTTTGAACTGTTAGGGTCAGTTGACCTGCATAGGAGGAGTAAATGGTCAGATTTGTTGCAGTGGAATTTATAGGACTTGGTGATTTATTGCATATGTGGGGCAGGTTGAAGACAGAATAGGTGAAGCCTGGGAGGATGATGAAATCTTTACAAAGGTGGGAAGAATGGGATAGATAGGAAGTGGATGGAGGAGTTAGGGATATTTTTAGCTTTGCTGCATTAAGATGGGGCATTATCTCCCCCTTGATACTGACCTTTGAATGTTGACTTGTAGGATAGTAGTCTGACATCATGGAGGCTTTGGCTTTTGGGGAGCAGCACCATGATTTTGTCTTTTAAAAGGTGGGGAGAAGACAGTGCTTTCCATTTCTAACATCTTGGGGGGCTCATGGAATGTTGTAAGACATTTTGGATTGTGTTTTCATTGCCCTGTTTTTCTCTTCTCCTAATGTCTGTGTTGGATTTTCTCTATTCTCTGGGAATGGTGGGAGAAGTTAGGTGTCAGCACCTTTGGGGTCTATCATTATCAGAGGCAGAAGTTCAAAACCTGGTGCCTGTGGGGTGCCTGTGCCTGGGTTGTCAGTTGGTTAAGCATCTGCCTGCAGCTCAGGTCATGATCCTGGGGTCCTGGAGTTGAGCCCCGCGTTCGGGGGGGGGTTCTCTGCTCTGCAGGGAGTCTGCTTCTCCCTCTCCCTCTGCCCCATGGCCCCCGTGCTTGTGTTCTCTCTCTCAAATAAATAAATAAAATATTTAAAAACAAAACAAAAAACCTGGTGCCTCTGGAATTGGCTTTCCTTATGCAAAGTGGTTTTTCTGGCTCAGTATTTTCTTCTAGCTCAGCTTCGGGTCCAGTATCTTGCCCCAGATAAGGTACTTTGAAATATTTAGATGAAGGGAACTCCTAGAATAATCTAGCTTTTACCAAAAAAAGTTTGTTTTCAGTTGCCATTTAATGTGAATGTGAAAGTGTGGCACGGCTGGTTCATGTCAGAATCCTATGCTTACTTGGCTTTGTAAAGAGATTTTCCTTTGCCTTGGTGGTTTGTTGGCGCATTTGTTTTCCTCAGTGTCACTCCACTCTAAGCCTACAGTAGATTCTTCCTTTCATGGCTTTGTCAACCATAAGTGATAAAGTTTAGATCAGGAGATATTTCCAAGGGTTTTCCTGTCTATACAAATGGCAAAAATCTTAACATCTGTTTCCCCAAGGTAGCTTCTTGTACCCCTGCAGCAGG